CAGGGAAGTGCTTCCTTTTGATATCAGTAATTACTTATCTCTGTGATAACACTCACCACATGAAAGCGTAAATATTGACTTATGTGTTCTAAACTGTGAGATCCTTCAGGGAAGCTGCTTTTTTCATCTCTGGATAACCCCATTCAAATATTTGCTGTATGAAGGGTTACCGTACCTCGCTTTTTCCTCAGGCTGAGAGCACTTGGTTCTTAAGTAGAAGAGATGGACCCTTGCTTGCTTTTTAGGTTACACTCGGATCTTTAAGAATAGTACCTAGGCTTTTTCCGATTTTGCTTTGTACCCATTAATTTCTCTCATCATTCCCTGGTGCACATTTGCTTTCACTTTTTATCCTCTTTAGGAACAACAGGTGTTTTATGTATGTGTGGTGTCTAAAGTCCCCCCCCACCCCCAAATGCCCATTAAAACCTGTCTCTTAGTGTCCCATATTTTAGTAGATTGCAGTTTATAAAACTGTCCTTTTCTTTTATAAATTCACTTTACAGAGGAAAAGGAAAAAGAAGCAAGTTGCTCAAAGCTCCTGGGGGAGTTAATGGATGATCATTTATATTTTGTTTTCTTTTACATCTCTGCCAGACAACTTTGACAAAGAGCTCTGTGACTTAATCAAGATGATTTTGACAGGATGCAAGCTGAGGTGAGGTTCGAGGACTTGCTGCCAGGAGACTTTAGTTTACTGTTTGCATTATTCTTTTAATCTGGAAAAAGAATGAAGGGCAGATAGCGATTTTGAGTGTAGCCAAAGTCTTCCTCTTTGACACTCCTGTGTGTCTGCAGCAGGGACTGGGATATGTTGCTAGAATAGACATAGTATGCAGCTGTGGTCCAGTTCCTCTCTCCTGAGGCTTATTTTCTGAGCCCTAGAAAGAAAGAAAAGTTCAATGAATGGCTTTTATTGAGAGTTTGACGTTAGACGAAGAAAACATTTTCTTCACACTTCGGATTTTATCTTCTCGTAAACTAAGATTTACCTTGCATAACATGCTGTTTATGAGTGAGATGAGACAGTTTTTTCCAGTGGCTTTACTATTCTAATCAGGTTTAATTTTAATAGAAAAATATAATAAAAATAGAAAAATATAATTAAATCTATCTTGTGCTATTACTGGTCTCTCTGTATAATTCATGTCTAATTATACACCGTCTTCCCCTGAGAAGGAACAACTGAATTATAATTATAGTTTGGGACAGGGCTGCCAAAATGAAGCATGCCTGCTGGATTTCCTTGTCCATGGTGGTGGACAATGACAGTTGATTTTGACATTTGGTGCTAGCCTCTGGGCAGCTATTTCCCATCAATCAATCAGTGAGTAATTCACTCAGTCAGGATGGTCACCAAGATGAAACCACTGGCCTCCTGGATATAAAAGGAAATAACAAGCTTTAAATGGATGGGCCCTACACACAAAAACTTGTAGAGAGGGAACCTGCCAGGCCTTGAAGAGTTTTGTGAGCTATGTAATCTCGTCTTTCCTTACCTTGCTTCCTGTGTTAATTCCTTTTTACCCTTGGAAACTTTTCCCATTCCAGTGTTTTTTTTTTTTTTTCTTTCTTTTCCCCTGAGAAGAAATCACCAGTAATAAACACACCAGCATTGAAGTCATGCTATTCCATAATTGTGACTAAGAGGCAAGGGTACCTGTTTCCCCCATCAGTACTCTTCAAAATGTCACTGGGTTAATGTTTACCTCCCTTACTATACCCAGTCTTAATTAAAAGTTTAAAACCACAGCCTTGCAAGTGTAATTTGGATGTAATTTTTCCTAGCTGTGTTACTGTACTAGGCGACCGTGGTGAACTCGCTCCCTCACTAGTGTCAGAACTTCACACATTGTGTCTTCCCAGCTTTGGTCCACTGCAAAACCAAGACTGCAGCTTTTACTATACCCTGTGCCAGATCCCACATAAAGACAACACCAGAAATCTCTCAGCCACTTTCACAGTTATCTAATCTATAAAAAGAGCCCATCCAGACCTATTTTTGTTTCCTGTCCTCAAGCCACTCACTAACAAGATACTTCCCCCATCCCAGGGGAGGAAGGCCTGTCAGTATCCTTTGCTCAGGACATATCAAAAGAAATTTGAAACTAGAAAATTGTGAAAGAATCTTTAAATGATTTGGAGTTGAAAACAGATTAGGTTGTTTTTCATCTATTGGCTTAGATGAAACAGAACCGTATCGCAGGTCTTCCCCAGACTTGATCTAGAAATCTCTCCTACTTCTTCCCAGTGCGTTCTTAGGTAAGTTTGTGACCTCGGACAAGTTGCCTACCCTCTCTGGGCTGAAGGTCTGTCTGCATTTGATGAATTAAGAGAGTCTAACCTTTCATCCTTGCAGGGTTCTTCTATTATTGTTATTATTATTTTAAAGTATTTATTCATACAAATCTGGGGTACAGGCCAGTGGTGCAGGGGCAGTGAGAGGATACACCAGAGACACAGTGGGGAGCAGAATAGGCAGATCAATGAAGTACATTGCTGGGAGGAGCAGCGGTTGGGTCAGAAGAGGTTTGCTATGCCACGTGGTGGATCACCTCCCTGGCCGGGGATTGAACTCGAACTGAAGTGGCTCCGGCCAGCTTGCAGTGCTGTGTCCTAACCCATTGCGCCACCAGGGAGGGCCCTCTTATGTTATTAACTGTGAAGGCATTCATAGTTATTGTCATTGAACACATGCATATTTCAAATGATCAATAAGGATGAAGGGTGGCCCTTTGGCTCCATACTTTTTGGTAGTTATATCACATATAGCCTGATATATTTTGATGATATTTTATTTTCTCTCCTTAAGTAGTAGAATAGAAGGTTCCCCATTTGAACTATACACTGTTTCTTCCCTTTCTTTAAAGTCATTATGGTAAAACTAAATATGCACGCAGGTGCGACATGTTGTTTGAAGGTGGCATTATCATAAGCTCGTCAATAACTTTCTGATGGTACTTTGTCTCTGCATCTGTGACTTTCTCTGAGGAACATGATGTTCTTTTGATTTCCTCCGTGGCAGTGGGAAAGCACACAGAGCAAGTGATAAAGCAAGTTAACATGTCAAAAAATTACATCTTGTGAAGTGGAAGGATTTTTTTGAGATGTCTCCTTTGAGGTACAGAAAGATAAGTGGGCCTCCTTTAGAAGTGACAGCTTTTGGGTAATTCAGAAGACTCTGTGAACTCTGAATTGCTTGGTTCTTTTCCTTTAAATGCTTCCTCAGCAGTGATAATGTAGTACATTCTGTGTTTAATTACAGAGGGTTTTCTTTTCTGTGAGCATTTTCCGTCTTGTTTTTGGTGTCTCTCACCCTGCACAGAAGCTGTATGGAGGGATGGCTTGACCTCACCTACTGAGTTTCACTTCCGTCACCACACTTAGCTACTTAGAGATTTAATATCCGTATCTGTCTGCAGGCTTCACAGCACTTGGAAGATCCATATGAAATGATTCCTCAATAACTAAGAGTAGCTTATAGCATGCGCCAGTCTGGTTATTGTCGTTATTTATAGGCATTTCTGTTAGAAAGGAGGTCTAAAGACCCCCTCCCTTCCTGCCTTCCTTCTACTCCTTTTTTCCCTGTTTAACCAGTACATTCATCTTGCACAATAAAATGATCCTTTCCCTTCTATTTATATCATAAAACAGTTTCTCTGTCCTAGTGTATCTGGAGGAATTTGCAGGTTGACTTCGAACAACCATCCACCCAACCAAAGCACCTTCTACAGACGTGTCAGACTCTATCAGAATACCCCCTTGCGACAAACTACTTGCTTCTCTCTCCCTAAAGCTTTTCAGTTTGATCCCAATATGAGGATTCTCGCAGACAGATTCCAGAATAATTATACCTTGCCCAACAGGCACAGCTAATCTGGTATTTGAAATCAGGGCAGTGGTGACCTTTGCAAAGAGTGTTGTTTATACATGTGTGTTCACTTCAGAGAAATTAAGCCATTCAAGCTTTCTGTATGTTTCTGTATGTTTTTAATACATTAATGCAAATGTTTATTTTTAAGAACTCTGCCACTTTCCCCATTTCTGCTGGCATCCTAATTTACATATATATTTTAGAAATACATATATTTACGTATATATTTTCAAATGTCCAATTTTATTTTTAGTTGAGAGAGTCTTTCATAAAGATAAAAGTGAGGAAGCGGCCCTCCCTGGTGGCGCAGCGGGTTAAAGCACTGCACTAAGAAGCTGAAACCACTTCCGCATGAGTTCGATTCCCGCCTGCCCCGGAGGTGACCACATGGCGCGGCGGACCTCTCCTGGCCCGCCCGCTGCTCCCCTCAGTGGTGTGCTTCGTTGATCTGCCTGTTCTGCTCCCCACTTTCTGGTGAAGTCTTTCACCACCCCTGAGTCTCTGGCTTGTACCCCAGTTCTGTAAGCACAAATGGATAAATCTTTAAAAAAAAAAAAAAAAGGGAGGAAGCATTTCCAAGCTTTTAAGGTGATGGGGGTTTCAGTCTATAAGTTCTTTGATCATTCACATATGTGCATGGTCTGGGTTGCTCTGCTGCGAATTGCCTGCATTCTGCTTAAAATGAAAATTTCAATATGTCGCTACCTCTTTCCTTTTGGCCTACAGTTGTAGGTTTAGCATTTGAAAAACATGCTTTCTTGACTCTTCTCTTTCTCTGTATTACAATTAACAGTTATTTACCTGAATAGACAAGAGATACTGTATTTTAGTATATCATTTTAGAACGTGTGCTTTACGACTAGATGCACTTCATATGCGGTTTTTTATTGGCATTGCGTTTACATTTGCATGGCTTTGCCTGATAATGCTTATTCTGATTACCAAAATCTGATATTTTCTGAAAACCGAATTTAGCTGGAAAGTAGTGGTGGAGGGGAAGCAATTTTTGCTATAGAGAATAAGAGGTAAATAATAGTTAACTGGGATTTTCGTTTTTTTTTTTTTTTTGTATACGAAGCTCACTAGGTGAAGAATGCAGTTTTACTTACTTCTTATTTTCTCCTAGATTGGAAAAAGACTGGTGAAGAAAAATAACATAATTCAGGTAAATGGGCTTTTAGTTGCTTTAGCTATCTTTTATGCTTGCCTTTTTCATATTTTCCTGCTGAGAAGAACTAAAACAAATTTTGTGGCCAACTTGAACATATAAGAAATGTGTTAGCAATGTACACACACACATGAGTGTCTAACAATATACGGTTTAGTTTTGTTATATATATGTATATTTATAATCATGTATTTAAAGAAGATATTATCATCAGTGTTTTTTTTTTTCTATCTCGAAATAACTTTCTTCCCACTCTACTACATATTTGATGTTTGTGTCTTTGTTATTGGTATCAGATTTTTGAAGCATTGTGGTGTCATTTTCCACAGCATAGTGTCATTTCAGTTATTTGCAATATAACACCTTAGGGATTCATATGTGGTGCTGTAATAGGAAATTTTATTCTAGGCTACAAGTACCCATTTGCATGATGTTAGGACAGTTGCTATTTTGATGCTGCTTAGGTGAACACTTTACCGTGTAACTTTGTAGAGTTGTTTTGTTAAATTTGAGCCTGTCCTCCTGTCTGTTCCCTCCCTCTCACCTCTCCCTTCCTTTCATCTGTTTATAGTATTTTATTTTGAGAGCATATACATTGGTGAAAATTCAAATAATACTCAAACAGCCACCATCCTCCTTGTATACTTGTATTGTTGCTTTTGCCCAAAGATATCCCCTTTGAACTCTTTTGCCTCGGTATTTACCTACTTCTTCCTAAACAAGGTACAGTAAGCTTTAAAGGCCATTCACTGATACCTGTTCAGTTTGAGTTTGTGCATTGATTTCCCCTTATATACTGCCCTTCACTCTTGTTCACACCTACTTTCCTGCTCTTTCTGCCTCTTCTTTTTTGGAATGTTTTTGGGTTATAGTCTGCTGTTAAAAAAAATATATCTAATTTTTATTATGACTATATTTTGTCTGTAATTGTGTTCCTTTGGTTGAAATATTTCAGACTTTTCTGCTTCCCAGTTTATGTATAAACTGCTTTATTTTTATAAAAAATTTTGAACTCTTTATTATTCTCAGAATTCTGAAACTTGTGTTTTTTCATGTTCATAGTTCTATTTGGAAACAGGTTTCCTTCAGTTTGGGAGATTTTCTGGTACTGTTTTTTTTTAAATAATTTCCTTTCTACCCTCTTCTCAGTTTATTTATTTATTTTTGCAAGTTTGTTAGATATTTGGACCTCATGGTTGGATTCTCTAATTTTCTTACATCTTTTTCCGAGCTATTTTCCATCTCATTGTTTTTGTCCTGTGTCTGAGACATTTTCTTATTACTTCTCAGACTTTTAGTTCCTGGTAGCATGCTTGTAATTTCAAATTGTTTTAAAAAATATTTATTTATTTATGCATATAAGAACTGGGATATAGGCCACAGGTATGGGGGCTGAGAGGATTTACCAGAGATAGAGTGGGGTGCAGAACAGGGAAGCAGCAGGCGAGACAGGAGTGGTCTGCTGTGCCATGTGGGTCAGCTCCCTGGCTGGGGATCACACTCAGGCCACAGTGGCTGGAGGTAGCTTGCTGAGACTTTAATACCTGTACCACCAGGAAGGCCCCCTCATCCCCATTTACTCTTTCAAGAAACAACAGCTGAAAATAATAGCAATAAGAACACAACACAATGAAACAAAAATAAACAGACAACTATAAGTCAGAGACATTCTGCAGGGAAGGTGAGGGAGAGGGGTCAAAACGAGGGTAGCAAGAGCTCAAGGGACTATCTGTGGTGAAAGTGCATGGCAGAATTGGGGAAAAAGAAAGAAACATTGTAATAAAAAAATGACCAATTTTGCAAAATATAAATAATTAAAAAACAAACAAACAAACAAACAAACAAACAGCAAGAGTGTAAATGCAGTCTCATTTTACATTAGCCTGACCTTGGCTTTGCCTCCCTCTTGCATTTTTAAGAAAACATTGTTACTATATCAGACCCACCTAGAAAATCAAGGAAGATCTTACTTTTTTTTTATTTTGATAAAATATGCAATAAAATTACTTGATTTTTGGTGTTGAGTTATAGGAATTCTTTCTATTTTCTGTAAATAATTTCTCCTATTATGTAATTTGCCTTTTTTTTTTTTTAAAGATTTATTTATTTGTGCATACAGAACTGGGCTACAGGCCAGAGATGCGGAGTGTGAGAGGATTCACTAGACAGAGTGGGGAGCAGAACAGGCAGATCGAGGAAGTACACTGCTGAGGGGAGCAGCGGGCGGGTCAGGAGAGGTCTGCTGCGCCATGTGGTCACCTCCGGGGCAGGCGGGGAGCAGGGATCGAACTCATGCGGAAGTGGCTTTAGCTTCTTAGTGCAGTGCTTTAACCTGCTGCGCCACCAGGGAGGGCTGTGATTTGCCTTTTTATTCTATTTTTTTTTTGACGGTGTGGAAGTTTTTAACTTGATGTAGTCCCACTTGCCTATCTTTGCTCTTGTCACATGAACTTTGGGCATTATATTCAAGAAACTGTTGCCAAGGTCAGTGTCATAAAAATTTTCCCTTTATGTTTTCTTCTAAGAGTTTTATAGTTTCAGGCTTTATGTTCAGGTCTTTTATTAATTTTGTGTTAATTTTTGTATGTGGTGTAAAGGGTCTAGAACTGCTTTTTGTGGAGACTTTCCAACCAGGCTTCCTCCTTTGGGCTCCTTATACTTCCAAGGAATCAGTAGCTCCATTTCCTAAGCCATTCTGTAGCCCTCAGCTGACTTTTTGCTTTTTGGTAGTGTGGCTCCACCCTGTTCTTTTCTGCTCTGCTTAGTAGTCTTCTCTGCTAACATCTTGTAAAATGCTATTGATGTTTGTTTCAGCTGCAGTACACTTTTCTTTGTTTGTTGCCTTCATAGATTGTTCCTTTTCTCTCTTTTTACTATAATTTTAATGGGGACTTAGAGGACAAAGAAAGGACAAATAAAAGTAATAAAAAGAATGGTTCTGTTGTTCCTATAACTATTAGTTGGCTCAAGATATTAGCTATCTAGCTTGGTGCATGAAGCCCTCAGGACTTTTATCCCCGGGTCCAAGGCTAGGCTTCAGAGAAGTCATGGTCCTCTTTACTTTTGGATGGTAGTAGAATAGAATTAGCTTTCATCAGTTATGCAATGATGTGGAGCTTATGTAATGCTAAAAAAGGTTGAGAACCCATTTCTAATAGATAATTTTAGCAGAAAAAATTAGAATGTTACTGACTAAAGTAACATGATCAAATTAAAATGCCATCTTGCTAGCTATTATTAGATTCCACACTTCTTTCATATGTAATACAAATAACTATAAATGTTGGATCACTATAACACTTTTTGTCCTTTTTCACATGCAAAATAGTATCCTTAGCTTCCTGTTTATGGACATACCCATTTGCACATATGCAACTTTAAAGGATGTTATTTATGTGGGTAATGTTTGGGCTTCAGAGAAATGACTACCTATTTCTCTGCCAGTCTGTATAGAAGGTGTTTATTTATTTATTTATTTTACATCATTCTTCGTTTTGTGCATTTTTCATCTCAGTTATAATCCCCATGGGTTTCCCACCACCAATTCACCTGTATGCCATCACCACAGTCCAGTGCACTTTTCCCACCCCAGTTCTGACCCCGTTTCCCTTTCCACCCTGTAAAATGTCTGGATGGTGGAAGAGAACAAGGGAGGAATGAAAGGTAAGGTAGGAGGTGGTGAAGGTCAAGTGTGAATTTTTTGTTTTAAAACTTTAAGACTTGTATTTCTAGTGAGGCAGATTTAAAAGGTGCCTTTTAGCTTTACAGTTTTATAATTCCATTTTTAAAGAGGCTAAGCTTAAATTACCCCTCTTATATTCTAGGTATCCCATTGAGTTCTTTGGAATGCACAAGTGTGTCTGGTTGGAAAACTCATGAAGTAGAAGACAAGACCTGCCTCAGGAAACGTACATGAGAATAAATTTAAAGGAACCTATTGATAAATGCGAAACCGTAGCTGTTGGAGGTATGTAATACCTTTAGCGGGGATTGAACTTGGTGTGATCCATTCTGCTGCATTAGGGTAACTTGAGCCATTGTCTGGGGAAGGAGGCCTTTGTTAGAGTAGAACCTCACTCACTGGTCTCTAATGTACATGGGGTTTTTATTTTCTAAACTTGATTGTATATTAGGATATCATTTTTAATTCTTTCTTGAACAACTCTGACCCAGACTCTAGAGTCCTTCCTAGTCCTTGAAAGACAATAAAGAAAGACAGCAGACACAACATGAACGTGGTAACAAATGTCTCACCAAAAATGTCATTGCTACCTTTTTTGGGAATTAGGACAGTAAGTAGCAAAAATCAGTCAAAACTTTGTGTCCTTCAAATCAACTGTTACTGACTTTATGCTGACCTTGAATATATCACAGCCACTGACTGTGTAGTGGCTATATTGGAGTGGCTAATTTCCTGTTAGTCATTAACTTTGATCTGCTCATTCCTGACACCATCCTCCCTGTTACTTGGATACTTCATTTGCTTGCTTATAGCCTTTAATTCTTATCTCCTAGAAGTGTTTATTGTCAAGATCAGGATCACCTGTATTTTATGCCCTGTGATCTTCAGCAGATGTTTGGCTTTTGATATGGCATTGCTTGTGTCATGCTATACAACCCTTTATATGGTTGCTCGAACCTTTGGGTTTTTTTTCCCATCTACCAGTAGGTAACACTGTCAATGTGCTTTGTATTTTGTGTCTTTGGTCACCATATCACTATGACAGCATTAAAGAAGTCTCATTTTCTACATAAAGATACTGAGGTTCCAAGTAGTTAAAGAACTGTCCTACTGTTTCCTTGAAAGTAAATGACAAATGGAATTCATCACTAGGTATGTGTGCTTCAGGCAGTAGAAATAGTCTGCTGGGCTCTTTCCATTTTTTGAAGAAAGGTTTGCAAAATATCCTGATGTTTGTAGAATTTTAATTTGCTGTTTTTACTATTTAAATTTAATTTAATTTTAATTTTAGTGTTTGTACTTATTACTGGCTATTTCCCTGATTTCGTGACATCTTACTTGGCTTGTAATTATAATATTTAATTGGCATATGCAAAGTAAACACTTTCCACATTTTGAAATTTTACTGAGAGGGTTATTATGTCTATGAGACATTAAATTATGCCTGAGTTTCTAACACAAACTCAGATGTATTTATTGATACATTTTAAAATGATTATGGGACCAACATAGGAAGTATAGGAGTGAACTTTCCAGTGTCTAAAAAATTCTATGTCTGTAACATTAGTTGTATCATTTTCTATATCCTTTTACTATACTGACTGAAAATGCTCCAGAGCACAGATTCTTTAAAATGTTGACCGTCTGGTTAAGTGTGCAGCATTGGTTCAATGATTTTTCTCAGTGTGTACAGATGGGAGGTTACCCTGAGTCTATGAATTGTAAGTTTAAGTGAATTTAAGAATAAGTAGTACCTTTTTTTTTTTTTTTTGCAGTAGTGATCTCTACAAGATTTGAAAATCTGTGTATATTAGGCTTCTAAATCGTATTATATCACCAGATGCTGTGTACATTCATATTTACTTCACTAAATATTTACTTCACTAAAATTCTGGAAGGTGGGTGTGGTCACCTTTCATTTTTGAAGGGTGAATAAATGGAGGCTTGTGCCTTTGTGAACTTGCCCAGGCTCATGCAATTAGAGAATTGGAGAATGGAGCCAGAGCTTGAACCAAGACTTGTTTGATTTCACAGGCTGTGCTTTTAATAATTAGACTGCCTCACTGATTACACACAGCAGTGACATTTAGAATGCAAACATGGGCAGGGATACTTTATGCTTTGCATTACTACAAAGAGCATCTTAAAACAAATAATTAAATAGCTTGCTTCTCACAGAGCTGAAGGTATCTAGATAGACCTGATATAGTGACCGATAGGGTTTTTTCCAAACAGTGACAGTTCTGGTTTATGATAGACTGAGTCATTCTTGAGAACACCGGAGGTATGTCTGCTCTGACCCCATGTTGTTTGCCACACTGTGATCCCAATAGTAATTAGGCTCTACTCACCTTAGCAGAATGTCAGCAGCATTTATTTCCTTCCAAAGCAGATGGAATAGACCTCCACCACACAGGGAAGGAAAACTCTGCCGTTTACCTATGAATCTTAATATTAATGAGATATCCAAAAATTAACTCAGGAGTGCTGTGTCAGTTTTACTGTATATAAAATTTCTTTTGGTTTTTATTTTTTTCCGATTTTAAATAGAAAATTAGCTAAGTATTGGAACAACATGCAAACACCATTCAAATGTAGTCATGATCATAAAATTTTGATGTGGACACTCCCAGTTTTTATTCCTATAAATATGTATACCTCTTAAAAAAAAACAAAATTAGATTTAGTTTTCTGGATCCTGTTTTACTTAATATAATTTCAGCATTTTCTCTGTGTTTATTTTACAACATACTAAATACTCCATGACTATGGAGTATTTCAGTGAATAATAGCATAAATTCTTGATCTGATTATTAGGTAGACCTAATTCATTTCAGTTAGTGTCTCTTCACAGTAGGCCACGGTGTGTAGGGCCAAAGTATATTAAGCAAGAATTCCATTGTTACCATTAGTGTGCGCCTATCTTGTGAAATAATGAATAGTGGTTAAGCCTATGATGAGAAAACCCAAATTGCTTCCTCTATTCATTATTCAGTGAGCCTGACTTAAAGATTTCTTGGCATAAGTGCTGTACATGAAAGGAACACCAGAAATTCTCTTTGCTTGGAGAAGTTCTTTCCTTACGGTGACCTATCTGTGACAAGTAGCTTCAACTTTTCCATAGTTAGATGGAATGTCTCAAATCCTGATTTGCAAGTCCTGACCCTTCTAATTGCTTAATGTAGTTAATGCTTTTAGTGCAGTAGTTTTTAAGCATTTTTCTCCCTACTCTTTTAGTTAAATTATTTCACACAGCATAAACCCTGGGTGAAGCAGCTTCACTAACTGGAGTGTTTGTATTTCTCTTTGAGAACAATGTTCACAGTGTACTGTGAACTGTTTAGTACTGTTGTGGCCTCTCCTGAGATGAAGAACTAGTGTTCCTATGGGTTAGAGTTGTCAGACTGAGAAGGAAATTACAGTGAAGCTAGGTGAACATTTAATAGAAGCACTCAGAACAGGCTGGTATAAAGCCAAACCTATAATGTATTCAAACCTGGCTTACTGCTTTGGAGACTCCAAAGTCCCTGAGATGCAGGTTAAATATAAATTCCTCATTGTCCCATAAAGCAACATATATTGAACTTATGCAAAGTTTTTTTTTTTTTAAAGATTTATTTATTTGTACATACAGAACTGGTGTACAGGCCAGAGGCTCAGGGGTGGCGAGAAGTTTCACCAGAGACAGAGTGGGGAGCAGAACAGGCAGATCGACGAAGTACACTGTTGAGGGGAGCAGCGGGCGGGTCAGGAGAGGTCTGCCGCACCATGTGGATCTCCTCCGGGGCAGGCGGGATCGAACTCATGCGGAAGTGGCTTTAGTTTCTCAGTGCTGTGCTTTAACCCACTGCACCACAAGGGAGGGCCTCTGCAAAGTTTTAAGAAAGGATTCTGCTGCTTGTAAAATAAAGACTGAGAGTCACCCTGGCATGTAGACCTTTGAAAAGAAGAAATAGGCAAGAGTATAGATGTTCATACAGTATCATGTCATTATGCCTGTAATTCTGCTGTAATTCTGCTGTAGGGACACAGTCCTTCTTGGGTATATAAGTCCTTCTTATAGACCTTGAAATATAGGTCTTGGGCTATATGTCCTTCTTATACCCCTGCTGTTGGAATGCCCTTAGGCAATGGTTTCCATAGAGGTGCCTCAGAAGTTTAAGGTGGAGAAGTGCCTTATTAGCAATGGAAAGGAAAAGGAATCTTTTAAAAAATATTTTACTTATGCATACAGAACTGGGGTATAGACCAGAGGTGCCGGGGCATTGAGAGGATTCATGAGAGATAGAGTGGGGAGCAGAACAGGCAGACTGATGAAGTATACTGCTGAGGGGAGCAGTGGGAGAGACAGGAGAGGTCTGGTGTGCCATGCGGGTCACCTCCTTGGCTGGCGATCACACTAGTTGTGAAGTACTGCGGCTAGCTTCATAATGCTGTGTTCAACCCATTGCACCACCAGGGAGAGCTCAGGGAAAGGAACCTTTTAGTGATGATGTCAGTAAATGATGCTAAGTATAGCATATTGAAGGCCCTAAGAGACTGGTTTCTGTGTTCTTGCTGATATGTATAGTAGGAGAACATCCTTGTCATCAGAATGATATGGTCTGTGAAATTGTGTCTGACAGTCTGTGAAATCTCTATTATCTACTTCTGGATTCTTTGAAAACATTCTGGGTAGGCTCTCAAATTGAAGATTGATACTGATGAATCATGGAGCTGACCACTCTGAGTCAGGAACTGTTGCTGTGTTTCTGCCATAGCTAGGCTAACTAAGAGAATTTCTATAAAGATATCTGTAACCAGGGAAGCCTAAGGAATTTACAGTGGCTGACACATTAGTTGGCATTTCTGATCCTTGGTCAGCAGTTAAAAATATTGTTTATTTACAGGACAGTGGAGGAGTATCTATCTGTAAGACCTTATCAAGAATGCAGATTTTCTTACTCAAAGAATGAAATTAGTGTTGAGTTGAAAAATGGAGAGAAGTCTCTTGCTATCTCTATCAGGAGAACAATAAGTTATGCCCAATTTGTAAATGCAACAAGACATATTGGAGTCAAGCAGCGTCTGAGTTGCCTTTTTTTCTGACTGCCGTTTGTTTGTACTTCCCAAATCCTCTCCAGGCACTGTACAACCCACAAAATATGAATGAATGGTTCCCCTGGCGTTGTGTAGTGCTGAAGCCATGGGAATATTCATTCATCCACTAGTTTGTCATACAACTGCTAAGAATCATATGCTATTGTACATACTAGACTATAACAATGAGCAGTGAAATTTCATGA